TAGGATAGATATGGATACGGACTGTAACAGGATTATGACATCACTCACAAAAACAAGATGTTCCACCTACACTTACATCGAATCTTTTATCTGAAATGAGTCGCTTTTATCAGCAATATGTCGATCCAGAAATAAAAGGACAAGGTCCATTTGATCCTGTTACAAAAGCTTATGCTCATGCTTTAGCTCGAATTCATTATATGAATCTTGGTCAACATCCAGAATGGTTACGATCAGCAACCGAAAATTTTGAAGATTCCTTATGGCTACGAGCATGGCGCAAAGAATGGCATCAAAATTTGACCATACCAAAATTTGCTCATGAATATGGTTGTTATACAGATCGCTTAGACGAATTATTGTCACGTTTGATAGCTTTTCTTCGTGAACGTACCATTGAAGATACATCATTAACATTAATTCATACAGATCTTAATCCAGACCGTATTCGAAGTATTGATGGATGTCCGATATTTATTCATTGGGAGCAAGCAGCATATGGTTGTTTTTATTTGGATTTACCAAATTATTTTTCTGTTGAAACAGCTCTTTGTTATCGAGATGCACTCGCTGAACTCGGTTTGAATATTCCTCCAGCTTTATTTATGGAGCGATTTCGTGAAGTAAGTCGATATATGGGCTTATGATATATCTTGAAGTAGGATCACAAGCTTGGCGTCGTCATTATAATGAAACGATGGAACAAAATAATAGTGAATTTCAGCAAGAGAAACAATCTACTAATGACGATCAATGGAATATGCAATATTGGTTCTTTCACTATTGTCTTGAACTGGCTCTCAACGGTGCATAGCATAATGTACAATTCTTATCAATAAGATTTGTTTTTTTTTGTGTTGCTGAATGTTGGAAACAGAAGGCGAGCAGCTGAACTTCTACAGTTGAAATAAATTGAATTTTACTATAATATCAAATAAATTATTTTATAAGAAATGAAAAAAGTAAAAAGTTTTCCAGCATTCAAAATCTAAAAAAAAACGTTGCTGCACTGCTTTCGAAAACTTTCGAGGATTTCAAAAGATTAAAACGACTATATCTGAACATTCCAGATATAGGGTCAAAAAATAATATTTTTTCAGAAGTAATGCTATAAATTTAAATAGCATCAATAACAAATTTTATATCAAATTAAAGCATGTTGAAAATGAGGCCTATTAGTATTAGATAGGAAGGATTATGAGAACTTTGCAATGTTAAATTCAAGAAAACTCTACAATTTCACGCACTATCGGTATAGCAAAAATTCTTTCATAAGATAGTGCAAACCAGATCTGATTTAAAATGATGAAGATCACAAAATGATCGACACTTGATCTGGAAATTCACCTGATCTAAATTCTAGCTGAACATATAGAGATAATAATAATCAAAAATGAAATTAGGAAAAAAAAGCTATCACAATCAGAACAAAACCATTATCAAGAAGAAACACAATAGAAAATATCGTTAAAAAAAAGCTTTCTGTTTTCGTTTCAATTGAAATCTTTACCAATCGATTTTTTTTTTAACCATGGATAAATTTTTTTAAACAATTTCCATCTATTCCAAGATTTTGTAAAAGGTTTAAGTACTGTTTCATCAAAGAATTTTTTCATAAGTTCTTATTTCTTTTGCTTTATCTTTTTCGAAACGAAATGGAATAAATTTTCTTAATCAATCACTGACTATATTAGCAACAGCATTGACTTTGGCTTGTTCAAAATTATCTCTATCAGTCAAATAAAATTGTTTAGCAAGAAAACGAGCGATAGATAATGATTGTGATAATTTTGTACTTTGAAATTCTAGAAGAAGCATTTCGCCTTTGTGTGATAGCCATTCAGAACCTTCATAACAAATATCTTCATATTTTTAGCTATCAATAGCAAATATTAAACAGGAGGCTTTAGCATGACCATACCCATTAAAAAAATAAAGGGTGTGTATTTACGAAGACAACATCACACTCACACCCACACCCTTCGTATACTGATAAATAAATTCGTAGGAGAAAAAACTCATTTACAGCCATTCAAATGGATGGAACTGGCTGTGAGAATGTCCAAATATTCTCTATTTGTGAAATCGGTCCATGTAAAACCGAATCTTATGGCTCTACGAATAAATACACCTTGATTGACACAGCACTTTCAATTATTAATTTAAAAATTCTTCTCTCTTCTTTTATAAGTCTGCAAATCGTAAAGGGATTAACGTGCATTACTCTTGTTACTCTAAAACATTCTTCACGAAAAATCAATTTGAATTTTCTTGTAACCGTATTGGGGCGTGGGTGGGTGTCGGTGTTGGCATTCATTTCCGCCAACAGAAATGATTAATGCAGTTGATAAAATACTGTTTCCTATACAGTCTTTTTATCTTCTTTCAGATGGTGTCTTAGAAAGCCAAGAATCAGTGAAAAATAAAAACGAAATATAAACAAGGATGAAGCCATGGTTTTCAGTTAGGGGAAAAATCAGTAATCAATGGCTATTTTAAAAAACGAAGTGTCATATAATCAAATCGTCTTCAGCTTTTTATAACCTTCTAAAACTGATGGAATGAATGTAGTTTCGATCAGTAAATTGATTTCTAATACGATGGAACTCTCTCGAACGTTTGAATGAGAAACTTCTTCAAGATTGACTCGTATATTTTCTTTTATTTGTCAAATCTTTCGATATTTTCAAAATCTACTACTTATACAATTTCAACATTGAATAGGCCTTACGTTCGAATAGATTGTATTAAAAATATGCAAAGACTAGTATTTTACAGTTAAGTGTGAAATGTCCTTACGGGAATTAAACTTGCAACATGTTTGTCTGTAGCAAAATAATTTACCATTGATTTGCAAAACACCGCAATCGAAACTGTTTGCACTATGTAGGATGTGAGGGTGTATGTGGTCGTCAGCGAAGAGAACATGCACACCCTCATCCTCACCCGTATGGACACATATAACTACGTACACTCCTACAACCACTATAATAGCCAAAGAGATAGTTGCAGGCATCTACCTCCACCTGGTTTTTTATGCTAATTCTAAATACAATACTTTTATCATCTTTTAATGAAAAAAAATATGTAAAAACCAGCTAAATATGTAGTAAAACTTCGATATCTTGAGTTGTATATAATTACTCAAACTTTTTCTTTCACCATTATATAACCTCACACTCCTAGTATCTATTATAAAAGTTTCAACTGTGAAGAGTTAGTTACGCAAATATATTGAATAATAGAATTTTATTACTAGCAACATCTAGAGTTGAAAATTGTTCTTTTGTTTTTGTAGCATAATTCAATATTTATCTATCGTGAAATTTTGGTGATTGTATATTATGTTAACCGAAAATCGCATGTTTGTCAGTGAATATCGATGAGATCAACATCGTCACTTGAAAAAAAAATGTTCTCCTACTAAAAATTGAATATCTCAACGATGATTTATACTATCGAGGTGCGGTTAGTGGCTAGAATACTTCTGAAATATATTAATGAAGTTAAAATTTATTGAGGACTATAGGCTATGGTTCCGAGCAATAATTCATATTTAATCATCCGACAACATTAATAAAAATAACAAAGTTATTCATTAGTTTTAATCAATTGCTTTGCCTTGTGGACGCGAGTTTGAAGGTCATTTATGATCTCGAAATTAACTTGTGATGTATCTTTTTTGAATAATTCAATTGCTTTCTCATAGTTTTCTAAAGCATGAATATAGTCTTTTTGATTTAAATAATTGTCACCAATTGCTTTATATTTAGGTGCAAGATCTGAATGATCCGATGGTAAGTAAGTCAAACTCATTTGAAGTGCTTGTTGATAATGATCTAAAGCTTTGATATATTCATTTTTGCAGGTATAAATATCAGCGAGACCATTATGTAAACGTACAAGACGTCGAGGTTGACTACGAAAATTAGGATCTTCCAATAATCCAAAAAGAACCTACTCAGCACGTCTATATTCTTCTATGTCTATCAGTAATTTACCCAAAAAAAGCCTTGATTATTATGTATATCAGGATTTCGAGTAGGTGCTAAAATATGAAGAAGTTGTTGATCATTATCATTAATTAACTTTAATTTAACCAACCATTTAACCATTACATCATTTGTAGTTTGTTCAATAGATTCAATACGAAAGACAGTACTCATATAAAAGCAAATTTCATCTTTGTTCATATCTACATCTTTGAGTAAGGCAAATGGATTTTTTTCATTAAATAATGTCTGATCGATATCTATTTCGAAAATAATACCTGCCATATCAGGATGCATTGCAAATCGACGATCAACAAAATCAATAGCAACTTTTTTGTTATTAGTAGTAATAAGAAAATCAGTAAATGAAAGAAAACCACCACAATTATTCTTTATTGTAGTATTAAATTCAGTATATGACATAGTTTTACCACGGTAAACAACAGATATTGTTTTCATTAATGATGTATTTTCTTCATACAATCGACTAAGTTGTATATTTGCTTGTTTAATAAGAAAACCAAATTTATAGATAATATCAATTTCACGTGTACGTTGTACACGATTTAATATTTTTGAAATAAAACATCGATTTGTTAACCACCAAAGAACTTTATTTGGACGATAATTTTTTGCAAATTCATCGATTACATGTAATTGTTCATCATTATTCATATAATGCATTCGACAAAAATCGACTAAGACATCTTTAGAAGAACTTTCAAATTTAAGACGAGAAATAATCTCTTTAATCATTTGTTCGAAAAGAAATGATGATTGTTGTTTTGTTAATTTTGATGAAAATGAAATATCTTGTGATAATGGTGATACAACAGCAATAGACATAAAATCCATTTCACATAATTGAATATCTTCTTGAAGTTGTTTATAAAGATTATTGATATTTTGATGTTTCGTATCATTTAATTCTTGAAAGGAATCGAATATATATAGTTTCTCAAGTTGTGGTAAATGATGAAAACATTCGAATGTTCGATATCTACCAGATATAATAAGAAATACTTTTTCATCTTGAACATTATTGATAAAAGTAATACATGCATCGATATTATTAAATGTTTTTAATCCATAAATGAGTTTTCGTAAGTATTGTATTTCGTTTTCAAATTTATTCAAAGTCTCATCATAAAGCCAAATAATAAGATAATTTTCAATAAAACGCGTCGTCCGTGGAATAGTTGCCGTCATCGACAAAGGTTCTTCATGATCTGCTGATGAATGTCTAATTAGAACATTAGATATCATATTTTTATGCTCTATGGCTATAGTACACAGCAAAATTTTCCTAACACTTTATTGAGTATTAAGCAAGATACACGATATATGGTTCAGTTCCTGCTAAATTCATTGATGAATTATCCTGCACACAGAGAAAAATACTTGGGTCATATCATCACTATTATGAAGAGAATCAGTAGTCAAAAATATTTCATAACATATAGATTTGCTTGTTGCACTCTGACACGGTTGATTCTACCTGAACAGACTATTTGCGTGCATATTCAACTGGGCATATTTGCATGGAAATCGTAACTCTACAAAATGAGTATAATGACGTTGTTTTTCAAAAGTTCTGCTATTTTTGATCAGAAATAAAGTTGATAAGTAAGAACTTTTTTTCATCAATTTGTGAGATAACGAGCCCTCTTTCTTTTAATATGGTCTAAAGACCGTTAGTTCTATCATCAAGTGAGGTTAGAATTGCTGCGTTTCCGTCACTCTACACAATAATGTACAAGTGTCTGTCAAACAATATGAACGTTAATCTATTTGTATTCTTTTTCTTTTATTTTATTATAGCCAAAAAACTCTCTTTTCTTAGAATATGTCATCGAAAAATGACGTTTTTTCACAATGTGTCTTTCATAAGTCACGATAGAGAGCTGAAATCTTGTGCGGGATGGAGCACTTATAGATTAATGAAATGGAAAACAATTGTCAAAAATTGATCAACCAGAAAAAAAAGTTATTCAAAAAATACAGCTAAAATTCAATTGTACCAAAAAGTTGTAATTCACTCATATATATGAATGAGCTAGAAAAAAAACCAAATATCTTAGAAAAAAAACATGATGACGAAGGAAATATACCTGAAGAACATCAAGAGAAGAGAAATATTCAAGTGAGAGAAAGAAAACAAAAGATATATGTATATACTGAAGTTGATTTTAAAATTCAGTTCCCTTTTAAAGGCGACTAGTTGGCTTCAAAATAAATTCTAAATTCAACTTCGACATATATATAACGTACTTGTTATCTGTACGACATCGTAGAAGATAAGAAAGAAAAAAAAAGATGTATAAGCAAGTCACACTACAACATCCTTTTTATATAAAATTTACCTTTAATTTAAATAAATTACTGTTCATTCTATATAATTATTGCTCGTTCCATATAATTATTGCTAAATTTCATTATTGCTCAATTAAATATAAGTCTTTTTTCTGCACAAATATCAGTTCATTTTCTATCGCCTAAAACATGTGTTGACAAAACTAGAAAGTATCTGTACAGAATCTATGTCTAAAACATTTTCTGACTATATATTCAAAAAAATTCTATTATCTCTTGTTTTTCAGTAAGCAGCATGTCTCTAAACAACATTAAAATATGGTCTATAAAAGGAAAGGAATGTCACGGAAGTTACCGCTCTAGCAACATTTTGCAATTTCTTACGGTTGATTTCATAAGATGGTGTTTTATCTTTTCTCTATCAGATTACTGTCTCTATTCTCAACAACTCATGCACAAAATACTATGAAATTTTCTGAAATAACATTAATAAAACTTGCTCTTGAGTCTCTAGTCATTTTTAGATTAATATTTGTATTGTTTTACTTGCGATTCGATTTTGTCAGTTCTAATCATTAACGAATTGTCGATCACACTATCTAACGCAATAGCGCATGGTTTTCTATCAAGTTTGCACAATATTGAATGGCACATCTAACTGAAAAAAAAGAGCAGCAACATACAATCGGTCGCAGTCGGTAGAATAAAAAAAATACTGAGGGACCCATTTTTTCTGTGTTCATTACTTTTTACAGACCACATTTTAGTATTATTTAAAGACGTTGTTCTTACTGAAAAACAATAAATAATGATAGAACTTTTTTGAACATTTCATTAGAAAGGACTTTCGAGCTTGTCCACACATGTTTTTGCCAATAAAAAAATAGATCAACACTACTGCAGGAACTTTTGCATCACTCGTTATATACAATAATGTGTACGTTATACAATTAATCAGAAGAAAATTGTATGTGAAATTTATAGAACAATAAAATATAAGAAAATATAACGATGATGTGATAAATTTTATTTTTTATATCAGTTTTGTTTATTTCGTGAAATATCGAGTAGTCAAATTACTAGGTCATTTTGATTAATAAAACAAATGATCTTCTGCCATTTAATGCGTATCTTCATCTATTTGTATGCTAAGATAATTTTTATACTAAAAATAGTTTTCTGATGGTTGTGTTATAATTCATATAATTAACCTCTAGTTTTACTTGGTGTAAGCTGTATTAAGTGGTGCATCTCATCTTTTTTTTTTCAATCTCAAAGCAAACGATGCTGCTTTACTCTTTAATTTTAGCATAATCATTTCATCATCACATGATGCTTCTTTAGAAGAAGAAAAAAAACCCATCTATCATCAAGTTATAAAAGTGTGTAGTAGAAAAATCTTTATCAAATTTTTTTATTTACCAACATCATCGCTCAAGGTGAAAGAATTTGAAGAACTAATACAAACGCTATCGGTGCATTAAGTTCTTTATATAATAAAATTGCAACTCCCTAACATGCTCTTATACAAGAACGAAAATTGAAATTGGTTTTTCGACATATTGAAAAAAAAACAATGAAATTGATAAAGGATTGAAACCAGTGATGGTAGAAGCAGTCAGCATTGAAGAGGAAGAGGATGTCGAGATATTTTGTAATGGAAAAATAGTTTTCCTCTAACAAAATGCGAAAAAAAAAACATTTTAGCTCTGCTAAAAAAAACAATTTTCCTTCCCTAGGGGTCGTATGACTTCGACATTTCCCTAATCGGGACAACACTGATTAAAATTCATAAAAAAGTGGTTGAATATCAGAACAACACATAATGATGAAAAATGTCAGTATTTCAAAGAAAAACAATACAATACCATTTGATGATGGATATGAAGATCAAACATACGAGCATAATTCATGTATAATTTTAAAAACGTTCATTGGATATGTGATGATTTTTTTTTCTTTTCGAATAAAATTACTTATTAAAATAAACTTGTTGTCTTTTTCAATACCAAAATATATTCACTCAGATTACATATAATACTCGCTAATGAGCTTATGTTAAGAAATTCTTTATAATAGAAAAAGAACAGCAAAAAAATATCTTCTATTTTTTCTTTGTGAATAATAATTCTCTAGGACTAGAATAAGTCTGTTGAAGAGTGTGAATGCATACAATGTTTCGGAAATTTTTGAAGAAAAAATTAATAGCTACTCTATTATATAGCATGTGACAGATAATTACTTTCGTCATATCTTTGTATGTCAACTACAAACATGTTAGTTTTCTAGTAATTTAGACCACCTGTTAAGCATCTCTCGAAGTTTGAGAGATTTTTAAAAGTTATCACCAGTATTTCTGTTTAGTTATGTTGTGTTATGATGCATGGGTGAGAGACAATCAAGATGTCTTGCACAATAAGTCATATCGAAAAACAGAAAATGTTTTAACACCTTTACCGTTATTGACGTATACATAAATCAAAACAATCTTTATGGTAAAAATGACAACTACCAATCGTAATTATTCTGTTTTTTTATATGCTCCGTATCGACTCTAACATTCTGCACTGGCTGGAGCCCATTGTACTGGTTCTGATGTTCATCTCAGTTATGTCCCTCTGTATCAATTGCAAAATTATTCGTATTAATTGTGGATTCGCTTCTTAATTAATATTATTATTGAACAGATTCTTACTAATTTATTAAGTATGGTATTTTGACGTTTCTTGTAACACCCTATCTAGATAATAGTGATAAGCACAAGTATAATCATTCACGTAAATATTTGGTCTTTCAAGAACTTCTAATTCTTATCTACATTTCAAAGATTGTAAAATAACATTTCTCTACGCTCTTGTTATTGGAAAACAACATCTATTTGCTATATAAAATAATAAAAGATATTTGTCGCTGAAATTTTCTATATTATCCTTAAATGTTTGTGAATATTCGAAGATTTTTACGCGAAAAGTTTATTGTTTACTCTAAAAAGAAAATTTAACGTTGAAGGAGTTAATTATATCTGACAGATGCATTTTTTTGGTATAATCTGTAGTCTAAATCGATATTCAAGGGTGTGGGTATGGGATGTAGGGTGTGTGGGTGTGGGATGTGGGGTGTGTGAGTGTAGGTATGGATGTGGGTGTGAATATTCTCCTTCATAACACTCACGCCCACACCCACACCTCACACCTACACGTCACATCCACATCCACACCCATACCCACACACTCACACCCACACCACACCCTCGTATCAGCAAAGAACAACAGGAAAATATTATTTGAATTACACTGATAAAGCCTTTTTTGTGGTAAGTTTGTGATGCCATTTTTTTTGTCATTTTTTTAAGAGTGAAAATAATAAATATAAAATGGACAGGCTGAATACAATAGGGACGTCTTAGCATGATAATCGAAGTATGTGAACAAAATTTAAGGTCTTTTTTTTATAAGTTCCTTATACTTTTTAATAATTTTGTCACACCAAAAAAAATGACCCTTGCCCGCCAGTGATATAACTCTTTCTTTCAGAAAAGGAAATAATAGTAACTTTTTTCTTAGATTTGTTATGAGAAATAATATCGCATGAAATGCATTAACAAAGGGAAAAAAATATCTCTGAAGTTATATCTAACTGATAAAATTTAATAAAAATATCTTGTTGGAGATTTTTTTTGTGGTTTTTACATTGTAGATAAAAAAACAGTTTCACTTTTTACCAACATTTTACTTCCGTTCTGTTCGTATGAGTTTCATGTTGGTTTTCCGTCTATAGATAAATGATACGCATAGGTCGTCACATCTGCATATATATATATATATATATATATATCGGTATATACCAGGTGTCTGTTTATTCAGACTATTATTTTCAATTAAACAAGTGAGAAAGTAAGTTATATAGAGAAGAAACTGTGTCACATGAGAGCATAAAAATAATTTAAGTTCTTG